GTTTTTTTTTCCAATATAATTTAAAAAGTAATATTACTGATATATTTGCTATAAATCACATAACAATATTTATTAAAAGAAATGAAATATTAATGTATATTCTCAGTAGTTTTAATTTGCTAGACCAGGTAGTTTTTCAAGTAATAATTGTCTCTTATGTGAACTGAGGAAAAATATAATTTCCAGCTTTATTTTTTCAATTGGTAATTTTTATTTTCACTAAATGTTAAGTATCAATGTAATCGTTTATATAATAATAGATCAGTACACAATTGTATGTCAACACATTATTTATTACCTTAAACTGTTCGGAATTTATTATTAAAGGGTTGTGCTTGCGTAAAATTTACTATCGTGGAAATTCAGCTTTTTTACCTTTTGGCTAATCTCATCCCTGATTACATGCATATTTATTAGTAATTATTTTTATGTTTCATGATTGTACTTTTTAGAGTACAATCTTAGAATATATTTTTATACTTTATAGAACATGTTTGCTTCTGAACTTCTCAAAAACTCACTATCTCAAAATTTTTTTAAACATCCCTTTAACTTTGTTATATTGAGAGTATAATGTACTTATATAGTATGCAGCAATGTAAGTTAATGATGTTTTAATCTTCGTGAGGTATCCTTGTCTTGTCTTTTTGAAACTGACTCAGAAAAAAGGAAAACTTCTGAATTTAAACAAACTTGTATTTGTGATAGAATTTTTGATTGAACAATGTTCACATTTGAAATTTTTTTTTTTACTAAGTTAACTTTTTATTGGTTTGATTCAGTCAATTTGTTGTTACCAAATAATTTTTTAGGTGAAGTCAAAACTTTAATGATTCAACTGTTGCATGCTGTTGCCCATTTACACGACAACTGGATCCTTCATCGAGATCTAAAGACTTCTAATTTATTACTAAGTCATAAAGGAATTCTAAAGGTATAACTTTTTTTTAACCTTATATTCTTTTCTAATTGTGGGTGTGTTTTTAAAAAGTATTAAAATTAGATTATGCCTTATTTATTATGAAAATTAGATTATTAGATTATTTCCTAAATTAGATTATGCCCTTTTTTTTTTTTGTAAAAAAAAATAAAAATCGTTTTTAAGTATGCATATTTTTCTAATAAATATCTTTTTCTTTTACTCAAGGGTGGCATTACCTTTTAATTGTAACTGTATTTTTCTTTTTCTGCTAGGTTGGAGATTTTGGTCTTGCAAGAGAATATGGTTCCCCTCTTAAACCATACACACCAGTTGTTGTCACACTTTGGTACAGAGCACCTGAATTGCTCTTAGGAGCAAAAGTATATAATTTTTTAACGCTGTTTGATCTATTTGAATTTATTTCAAATTTGTATGCTTTTCTTTTTATTATATTTTATTGTTAAATATGTTTCTGTTGATAATTCAACTCTAATTGTATTAACATCAAAATTTCTTTGCTTTTTTATGATTTTTAGTACTTTTGGTACAGTAATTAATGTAACCAACTTAAAAATTAGTAAACTCAAAATAATTACCTATTAAAAAACCAATGCCCTTCTTATACTTTGTTTTAATTTTTATGCACTAATTTTTTTTAAAAAGTTAAAAACTAATTTTTCTCAAGTTAGAATTTCGATTCTAATTTGTCTGATTTAGGTTTTAATTTACTCAATATTCAAACAATAATTTATGTATGTCAGTTGATTAGAAATTAGAGTACCGTACATCCTGCTGAATATGTCAACCCAAATTTTTTATTATGAAAAAGCTAATTTCTGGTATACTGGTTGCATAAGTCAATTACTGACAAAAAACAAACAGAAAAATATCTAAAATTTTAAAAAAAGTGAAAAAATTATTAAGTTAAAAATGTTTCGCAATTTTCTCTTTGGATATATTTGCCCTGAAGTAAGGATAAATAGCTTCATTGAATCTGACACAAATGATGTTCTGAAATCATTAAATTTGTAGATTTATGCTATGTTTATGATTTTTAAATTTGTAGATTTATGCTATGTTTATGATTTTTGTGTTATATTTTTTGAAATACTCTTGAATAAATTATCTTAACTTTCTACATATAACATGTTAAAAGTAGTGGTGAAAGGGGTAAATTGATATAGAGTTATTCATATCTATCTCATCATTTCTAATGGATAAATATTTTACGATTAACAACTGTCCAACTTAATTTCTAGTTTACTATATACCCTCTGATCTTCTTAACATTTTGGGGGTTTGGAAAGCATACGGTATATCATTAAAGGTATGCCATTTGCTACTGTTTATTATATCGCTGTATTGAAAATAACTTTCATAGTTAATGAAATTGAATAATGAAGGAATAAGAAAGAAAATTAAAGTAAATTAAATCAAATAAGTTATTTCAAATCTATTGTTGAATTTAGCATGTATGTAACACATTTAATTGCTATGCTTCTATGCTATTGCTTCTTTATTGAATAACGTGTAATGATTGGTTTGAAATTTGAACAAGTTATCAAATTCTACTTCAAAACTGAGCTAAGTGATAAATTGTGGAATGTAGATATTTTTTTAAATATGATGATAACAAGTTTATGATAATTATCAGCCCTCATAAAATCTTGATTTTTATTAGCAACAATAGTTATCAAGTACAAAATTCTTGTAAACTTTATCACCACTAACATATATCAAGTTCAATAGCTATCAACAATGACGTAATTGTAAATATCCAGTTTAACTCACTCAGTTAACCATTATATAAAAATGCACTTTTTAAGTTCTGCATGTTGAAAATTGCCCACCAAGCAGCATGCTTTTTTTTCTCCTTTAAACAGCTTTTTCTGTCTATTTGTTACCATGCCTAACAGTGGGACAGTTAAAATAAATGTTTAGTGGAAAATTAGAAACAGCAATGAGTTTGACATTTAATTAAGCAATAATACATTATTTGATTCATAAAACAAAGACACTTGGCATGGCTTGACTATAGGAAAAATGAGAGAAAGAATACTGAACAACATAGAAGAAAAGAATGAAGACTAAGGTTTGAGAAAAATCTAAAATAAAAAATCATGAAATTCAAAACCCAAAGACGCATCCCAAGAAAAGATGATGTTATGAAATGATATAATAACCATGATGAAAATTACAAACTGGAATTCCAAGACCAAACATAAAAAGGTTTGAAATAACATAGTTCAGCTAGCGAAAAGCCTACCCTAGCCTAGCGCGCCAAAAAAAAGAAGTTTTTTCTATGTAGTGATAAAATCTCATAGAGAACAAAATTATCAGAAATTTTTTCATTTATTAAAGTGTTCAAGATATAAAAGTTTAAAAAAATTAACCCAATTATAAATGTATTGTTTTATTATTATTTTTTTTATTGAAAAATTCTCAAATAACCCAATTTTCCCCCTATTTTCAGCAATATTCTACTCCCATTGACATGTGGTCCGTTGGTTGCATTTTTGGAGAATTACTGACCATGAAACCACTCTTCCCAGGAAAATCTGAGATCGATCAACTCAATAGAGTTTTTAAAGTAAGTCACTTTTATCATTATTATAATTATCATTATTATATTTCTAATGATACAATTATTAACTTTTATCTTATTGGTGAAGTGTTCTCTAAGTTCTTCTTAAAAGTTGTCAAAAACATGAACCCTTTCAACCCAACTTTTGCAGCATTAAAATTTAAGTATGAAAAGCTGTTTATGTTAGTGCTAACATATTAAAATAAGTATACTATGAGTTTATTTCCTTTTTTCCCATTTTCCTAGAAATCTCCTGGGGCAATACGTCCCAACTGTCTTGATTATTTTTTAAAATACTAATATTATATCTATAATGCATGGGAATAAATAATGAAAATAATATAAATCCATCGAATTATTTATTCTTACCAAAAGTTTTAGAAACCAGAAATTGCGGTTATAAAATACTCCAAGCAAAAACTAAAAAATTTTCTTATAATATTTTTATCATTAATGGGATATATTGTCCCTATGGTAAAGTACGATTGGGACAATACACAGGGATGTGATTCTTCCGCGTATCCGCTGATTTACGCTTTTTTCAGATTTTTCCATATCTTCCGCTCTTTTTTCATAAATTTCCGCACGGAAAAGTTTTTTATGCAGTAAATTATATTTTGTTGAAAATTTTTTCCTTCCGCGGAGCGAAAGTATTGAAGCCCCCAATAAACCTTTCTTCACATGTCAATCTGCTGGCTGGGGTAAAAGTGGTTGACCTTGGTAAAACAATGCCGTCTCCTACTCCACTACTCTCTTATCTTTTCAGGGATGAAAGACTTTTTAAAATCTCCGACCATGTTCCAAAAACTTTTGGGGAGTCGAATGAACGATATAGTCGGACTTGCGACTTGTTGCTTTGGCAACCGGGACTTCCGCTATAGATTGGAAAAAAGAAAAAAAGTCCTAAGCAGTTTCGTTTCGGCCGCTGATATTTGATTTCTTTTGATTGGCTGATTTACAGAATTTTAAATATTAGGAACTGGGTCAGATTCTGCTAAAACTGCGATTCTTATTTAGATGATTTTTATGTAAATCATCGATTTTCGTATTTAACTGATTTAAAAGTTACTTGTTGAGATTCGTTTTTACACGATTTAAAAATCATTACTCGCAATTCCCATTCACGCAATTTAAAAATTCAATATCGCGATTTGTATTTAAGCGTTTTTAAAACCCAATATCGCAATTTGTATTTAAACGTTTTTAAAACCCAATATCGCGATTTGTATTTAAACGTTTTTAAGACCCAATATCGCGATTCATATTCCCGCTAGTTTAAAATCCAATGTCGCGATTCGTATTCATATATATTTTTAAATTTCAATATTGCAATTCGTTATCACGCGGTTGTAATATCAAACATCGAATTCCGTATTTATACGCGGTTTAAACATTACTCGTTGCGATAAGTATTCACGGACTCTAAAAATTATGCATCGTGATTCTTATTTACGCGATTTAAAAATTCAATACCGCGATTTTTATTTTCGTACTTTTAAAATCCAATATCGTGATTCTTATTCACGTGATTTTAAAATTCAATATCGTGATTCTTCTTCACGCTATTTTAAAATTGAACATCGCGATTCTTATTCACGCGATTTTAAAATCAAACATTGTGGTTCTTATTCACGCGATTTTAAAATCCAATATCGCGATTCTTATTCACCCTACTTTAAAATCGAACATCGCGATGCTTATTCACGCACTCTTAAAATCCAGCATCGCGATTCTTATTCACCCAATTTTAAAATCGAACATCGCGATTCTTATTCACGCAATCTTAAGATCTAACATCTCGATTTTAAAATCCGGCATCGCGATTCTTTTTCACGCGATTTTAAAATCAAGCATCACGATTCTTATTCACGCGATTTTGAAATCCAACATCGCGATTCTTAATCTAAGGCCTCTAAAAATTGTGTGATAAATGAACTTTCTTGTCCTATAAACACTGATGATCAAAGGTCTGCAAAACGCAGTCTACAGATCAGTCATGTTAATAAAAGACCATGGAAAAATCAAAGAACTGATGAGAAAGTCCATAAAGGTCCTTTGACCATAAAAGAAATGTTTTTCAAAATGATGTGATACATAAAATCGTGCTTATGCATAATTACTCAAAGTTATCAAAATTATTTAAAAAAAAATTATTTTAATCAAGATTTTATTTAAGAACATAATTACCATTTATTTATATTTATTTGAATAGATAATAATGTAATCATTATCAGATTGGCTATTGAATTCATATCATTTTTTCTTTTGCACGTTTAATGCTACAGTTATAAACTTCCTCTTTTTTGTGTTTTTGTCAATCACATCCCTGCTATCCGGTTGAACAAAGTTAACAGATAGCTTCATATACAGGCTGCAAAACTGTTACGGTATAGCTATCCGAAGCAATGTTGNTTTTTTTTTTTTTTTAATTTTATTTTATTGATTCATTCAAGCACTTTTACCTTAAATTTTAGGATCTTGGTACCCCCAGTGAAAAGATATGGCACGGCTACAATGATCTTCCTTTAGTAAAGAAAGTCACTTTCACAGAATATCCTTATAACAACTTGAGAAGTCGTTTTGGTCACAATTTTACAGATTTAGGTTTTGATCTCCTTAACAGGTATTATTTTCCTGTAAAATATTTTTGTAAACCAAATTTAAAGACCTGTAACATTTATTTTTTCTCTGTTCTTATTTTGTTTTTGATCCTTTTCTAAATTAAATGTTTAAACTAAAAGATTGCTTTCCTTATTATAGCCTAATACTATGACATTACTTTATTACACTACATTTAAACACTAAACACACCAACACTTTACAATACAACATATAATAACTGTTTTTTTTTTAACTGGTTATGCTATGTTAAGATAAATTTATTTGAATTGGTGTGTAAACTTATTAACGATTATTTTTAGTTTAAATTACGTTAATATTGCTATTAAAATTTACCATTAAATAATTTAGGACTTAACGGTCAGCTTTATGCACATTGTGATGCGTGTACAAATTATATTCATATATCGGCCTCTTTTGTAAGCAAAAATATTAAAATACAATTGTGGATTCACCAAACTTGTTCAATTTATTGAGTTAACACCGGTAATAAAAATTTATTGGTCCAAAATCAAACAATTATGTAACTTACAATTGCATGTTATGGTGCACATCAAAAACTATTATTAATTATCTGTAACACATTAAAACTAATTTGGTTCATTACCCCATAATGATTGAAGATTATTATTTAAAAAAATAAAGGTGAAAAAAAATCTAAAATAATGTTAGTAAATAGATTCAACAGAGAGATTAAAATGATGAGACCAAATAAATAAACAAATGACAGAGTAAGATTTGACAAAATATTATATTGAGAATTAACTATCTAAAAATTATAAATTTTTAATGAAAATCAATTCTAAAAGAGAAAACTATATATCTTTATTATAGAACAATTATACTGTAAGTATATGAATGCAAAGCACAGCACAACAAATAAATTTGAAATTATACTTTAAAATTATCACATTTCTAATTTTAATTTAGATGTTTTAACTACTGTCTTACAGTCACTTTTTTTTATTATTTGAATTTAATGTATCGTAATTCAATTGAAAACTTTCAGATTTTTGACATATAATCCAGCTAGGAGAATAACAGCAGAAGAAGCCAAAACTCATGCTTTCTTTGAAGAAAAACCAAGACCCATTTCCCCCTCTATGTTTCCCACATGGCCTGCAAAAAGTGAACAACCCCACAGAAAACAGCACAGCCCTAAACCACCCTCTGGAGGAAAACAATACGCTAAACAAATGGTATGTATCTCAACTGAAGAATTCTATTCTTGCTTTGATTTATGCTTATAACACAAAAGATCATTTTTCTTTTCCTTATGATAAGATGAAGTTTGTAAGTGGAAAATGAAAAACATTTTTTTATTATCCGTTCAATTATTTGGAGCATTAATCAATTGAAATTGATTAAAAAAAATTATTTATCGATGACAATATTTTGAAAAAGACTCCACTCTGTAGTTTCTAATTTCTTGAAAATTTATTCTCAGTATGTCTGATAACATCTCTTTAAGCTATTGTTATTAAATTGAGTTTTGCATCACCTTTAAAATATACTAAGGTTTGTTTTACGTTAAAGTTCTGTCAGTTACATATAACAGTAGTACAATGTATTAAGCCTACCAGGTCAAAATTTTAAGTACAATGTGCATTGTGTCTCAATTGTAAAGGATTGGCACAGGAAGCCTGTGTCGATTTAAGTTTCAAAATCACAATCAGAGTGTTACTTGCGATTTCTGTTCTTAAATTCTGATTATTAACTTAATACACTGTATTCTTTATTATGAGGTGATAAGTATTAATTTCAAGTATGTCAGTGAAAATTAAAACAGTAGTATAATTTTTAAAGATTGCAATAAAAAGATTATTTTTATTATAAAATTTTAAAATAAAAGTATATCCAAATAAATCAGTGAAACAGCAAGACAAATGATATGCATGTTATCACATGACGCGATCTTGCAATTTTGCTCTTAATCTTTTTATTTTTTTTACACATTTATCTATTGTTCTTTTGAGTATATTTTCAATAGCACCTTTAAATCTTTTCATCTTTGCTGAAATACTTAAACTTGACCTATCTTTGCCATCTGAATTCCCTGTTTCTAATTTCTATTTTGTTTAATTGTATTTTTTAAACTAATGCACACAATAACTTAAATGGCATTATTAGATAAACAAATTTAAATCTGCAGAAAACTGAATAATATTTTGGAAATTTCAGTAAAAAGTAAATGTATCCTTATATTTATAGGCCTAAATGTATAACAAATATTAATGAACCTGATCTTAAAATCCATATTGATCCAAAAAAAGACCCAAATTTATCAAATGTAAAATTACTTATGTTCTTTGATTTTTGTAAACATCTGGGTGATTATCTTCACAGAAAGGATATTGCATTATTTTAATGCTATAAATAAAGTATTAAAATACAAATAATCTTTTCCAAATTTTACCATACTTCAAAAATATAATTAGTTTACTCTTCAAAAATACCTTTTTATCACATTAAATATTATTTATTTTTGGAACTATTTATTGTTCAAATGTGTATTTGAGCAATTTTATTCATGTAGTTGTCAAGGGAAAAAAAAAGGGAGTAATCTTACGGCACTGATTTTTTCCAAATCCTTTTCTTCGAAATTGATTAACTATGTTCATGAATGATGTAAACATATTTAAATACTTATGAAGAATTGATTTACTCTTGATCCTTGAAAGTTGATCTGGCATAAAATTTTAATTTTATCCTTTTATTTTTGCTTAATGGATTTTTTTATATTAGATCATGATGTTTGTGTTGGATGCATTTTAGCTGCTTATATATCTTGCATCATTTTATTAACCAACCAAAAGCACTTAATTTGAATTAACAAAATTTAGTAAGAAAATAAAAGTACTTAAGTTATTTAGCAAGAAGTAATTGAAGTAAGAATCCTATTTTTTTACAGTAATTCTTTACTGATATTATTATTTTGATTGGGTCAGGATAGCCTGATTGGCAGAGCTCTGAGAATGGGAATTCGAATCCAGCTGGCCGAAGACTCGCCGTGCAGTAAATATTGAGTGGTGCGTGTTAAATTTGTCGGGTCACAAAGTCCTCCTTGTTCTCATAACAAATTATACCTCTGGAAGTACTGAATTGGAGATCGATCATTATCTGATTCAGGTCTAAATTATAATCTGTAGATGAATGTGAATGGGTTCGTCCTATAAAACGGGTGTGGCAAAAGTTGAATTCTTGGCCATAGATGGCGCCACTGGAGAACAAGGACAATCGCACCCCTCTGCCTTAATGGTCGACAACAACAGCATTATTTTGATTAAGTCCTTCTTGCTTTAATGTGTATATTTATTAAAAGTTTTTATCCATTATAGGGGGAAGTGGATGATGAAGGGTTGATGGCAGCCGCTGGTTTTCATATGGCTGGTGCTCATGCTGGCCAGTCTGCTAAAGGAGGTGGATTTAGTTTGAAATTTTAATGTTAAGTTTAAATTATGATTGTGTAAATAATGTAATAAATATTTTATTTTATTTTTGTCTTTTAGTTTTTATTTAAGCAAAACAGATTTAATTGCAAATTTATCAATCTATGTTTCTTAATAATTTAACTGATTTTCTAGATATTATTTCAAATTTAGTTTTTTGAAAATAAGTTTAAATTAAAGGGACGGAGACAGGTTGCCATATAAGCTCATATAGAGAGGATATGATCAGAAATTAAAAGTCTTGCAATGCTATTTTTATGCTTACAAGTACAAACACATTTTATACAGATAATTTCATATTTTTGTTAAGTAATATGCGTTGTTGTCAGAGCAGAGTCATAAAATATCATCATTTTTCTATGGTGTCTGTAATATATTTTCTTAAACCATTCCTCACAACCTATCGGAAATATAACCTGTGTAGAATCTCTCTTGGCTACTGCAATTTTCCTAGTTTTGTTTTTCACTTTTAGTTATTTTCCAGTTTTTTCATTGGGGAGTTTGCGTTTTGTATTTTTAATCTGTTTTTCTTTTATACTGAAAATGGGGTCTATTTTTGAGCCTTAAAATGAGTTGACTTTTTGAAGCAAGTGAAATTTCAAGTATTTCTTGGAATTATCCATTCAATTTAAGTTTTATAGTTGATATTAAACGAATGAATGCATTTTAATTGTAATTTTAAATTTTATTGGAATGCTTTAAAATACATTTAATCGTCAAATTTGAAAAAGTAAGGTAATAAGTTGTCATCTTTGAATAATAAAGTAGAAATAAAAATAAATTAGTAGTTCCTTTGCTGGAATGTACTGGAAATCGTTCTTGAAACTGTAAACAAGTTTTAACGATTAAAAATCTGAGAAGAAAAAATAATAATTATTATTATTTAAAAACTTACTGATTTAATGCATTTATTTGTTGAATTCAAAAAATTATCATTTATTAAGTAAGCTTTATACATTTTATAAATGACTCACATGCAAGGCTGGATTACGTATTAGTCCGTGGCCTGGGGACCCCCTCAAAATGGATTTTTTGAAAAAATTAAGAAAAGCAATGATTTTTCAAAATGTTATTTTTTTTAGTTCTAATTTAATAAAATAAAGTAAAATTTAATTTATTATTATTTATTTTTATTTTAAATATGCTTTCTTGAATGAAAAGATATATAAATACTTTTATATTTGAATAAATAAAAAATATACGAGAAAAAATATAACCTAAGGGCCCCAAAATTTTGAATGACCTAGGGCCCCGCGTACGCTTAATCCGGCCCTGCTAATGTGGATGGATCAAACTTCTTAATAGAATCAAACTGGATTTAATAAATGTTTTACTGCTAAATGAACTTAAGAAAAAATGTCATGCAATCGCGAATCTTTACTTAATTAGTAAGTAGCTTAATTATTAGTAATCTATAAATATTGCCACAGTTAAGAATCTGAAAATGAAAATTTTCTACATTAATAATTAAGGTCATCGACGACTACTTTATTTTGAATTCGCTGGAGTGGAGAGTAGAAATCGGCACTGACAATCTTCATTTATCTAAGGTTGAATTGAGTTATCATGTCTTACATATTAGTGAATTAATGTTCAATAATTGCAGTAGTAGTTACGCCTCATTACTCCCTCTCCACAATTTTGTTAGGGATAAAATTCGATGAAGGAATACCACAAGTTGCCATATTTGCGAAAGACCTGCTGTATTAAGTTCACGATTGTGTGTGTGTGACTTCTGCTGTGTTGCAGTCAAGCATGTGCTGCAGGATCCCGTTGTGTGTAAATGAGACTGAAAAGCCACAGCTCGAGGTGGCAGTCACAGATAGCAAGTCAACTTTTCAATGTGTACCATCTATCGAAGTTGGCGTGTTCATATCACGTCCGGGTCACCAATGTGGAGAGAGTAGAAATCGACAACGCCAAAGTTCATCTATCAAGAGGTACCTCAGGATTGAATCGAGTTGGCAGCATGTACTTTACACCAGTGAATTGATGTTTAATAATCGTAGTGGTAGTTACGCCACAACTTGAGTTTTTAGCTCGGTTATCAGTTCTAATCAATTATTTAATTAATACATTCTATAAACCTCAGTTTAACGGATTCTTAGCAGACGTCAAAGAATGCAGAATTTGAAATAATTTAATAAGAAAATACAACTTTGCTATTTAAAAAAAAAGACTATTTATTTTTCTACGGCTCAATTGCGAAAGAGATTACGATTCTACTGCTAAAAGCTAAACAAAGCGAAAGTGCAGAATAAATAAATAACAAATTTAACTATGCCGTAAAATAATTCTCAAAAACTCATGTTCTCAAGTTAAATTTATGATAGAGACCCCAAGCAAAAAATATATAATGTGTCTATGTTCTTTGCCTGAACTTTCGGAATTGCTTGAGCAATTCTGATAGACTCTCAGATGCGTTAAATAAGCTTTGCTCTTTCATTTATATATTCTAATATTAAAATAATATGAATTTGTTAAAAAAAATTCTAAATTAAATTTTATATACATGCGTAAAAATCAAAAAATGGAAGAAGCGCTATTTTGATTTATTTCTCATTTATTTACTTGACTGTTTTTTTTTTTTTTTTCTTTTTGACATCCAATAACTTACTGCAATTACTATACTCAGCCTAAAAAATTTTTTTTAAAAAAATCACCTCATTTTCATAATAAAAAAAATATCCGAATCGAAATTTGTTTCATTTTAGTCTATTGTTTATCTCACATTAAATACGTTTAAATTATAAAATTCAATTATGCACGATAAAAGTAAAATAACATATATTTGCTTCAAAATTCAAACCACAAAGAAGCTAATTGAAAAAGAATTCTTTGCAATTGATCAAGAATATCAAAAAATTAAANTACTCAGCCTAAAATTTTTTTTTTTTTAAAATCACCTCATTTTCATAATAAAAAAAATATCCGAATCGAAATTTGTTTAATTTTAGTCTACTGTTTATCTCACATTAAATACGTTTAAATTATAAAATTCAATTATGCACGATAAGAGTAAAATAACATATATTTGCTTCAAAATTCAAACCACAAAGAAGCTAATTGAAAAAGAATTCTTTGCAATTGATCAAGAATATCAAAAAATTAAAGCATAGGATTGTTTGACGTCATAAGAGAGAGGGGGGATTTTGAGAATCTCCTATTTTATTTTACATAATTATTAACACTGAGCACTCTTAACTAAAATAATTAAGCAATTTCTGTAAATCAAATCAAGATAAATACTTTGATTTCATATAGAAAAATCGTTTTATATAATCCGTATTTTTAAACTGTATTTCATCGAAGATACGGATTTTTTGTTAATCTTTCAGGATAAAATAAAAAGCAAAAACTTTAAAAAGTGATTGCTCTAAAACTAAGTTTAAATTTTAAGGATGCCAAAAAAAATTATTTAATTAGTTTTCCTTTTATGTCCAAATATCCCCAAAACCATCACTATAAACTATTTAATTATTTTCGGAATAAAGTGAGATGTCTTGCCTAATTTTAGCTGCAAAAAATCACAATTCTCATATACTGCAAATAAATTGAAAATATTGAACTGAAATACGGAATGACACAGGAAAAAGTCTTCAACTTAGTCGTAAAACAACTTAAAAACTACATCATTAAAATTCTCATATCAGAATGTTTCTTAAATGTGATAAATAAAATATTTGTGGTTCGTCTTCACTTGTAGAGTTCAATCGAAACGGCTCGGGATTCGTAAAAAAATAGATCAAAACAAACTAACAAAAACAAACTTTTAATTATAACAAGTTATATAGATCTTTAAGGTCATTTAAAGAATCAAATTTTTTCAACGATTGCGCATTCTAATCGAAATATATTCATATCAAGAATATAGAATTATCAAATCATAACGACTGTCAAAATTGATCCAAAACCTAAGAACTGGTGGGGAGTCGACTTACTCTCCCAAATAGCCGTCAGCGCCATCTATCAAAAACATTTTTTATACTTAAATATTTCTCTAAAATATTTATACTACTCTTTCATAATGTTCCATCGAATAGTTTATGAGTTTTGATGTGATAAGCACATGGGATAGCAACGACATTAACTTTTTTTTTTAATATTGTGAGATCACAATCATAACGAAGTCTTCATAATAAAAGTTTTGTTCAGTTAATTACTCTAATTATTAAAATTTTTGGTTAATTTGTAATTAGTAAATTTCAGTTCAGTTAAAATTAGCAATAATTACCAAATTAATAATTAATGGGTTAAATTAGTAAATTTAATTCAGTTAATTCTTAAAATTTCTATTCAGTTAAAATTCTAGTTAGTAAAATGTTCTTTTTTTGTTTACATTTAAAAATTTATGAATATAATAGAAATGCATGATGGGCAATTTAGCAAAGTACTATCCACTATTCATCCACTAAGTTTACTATCGTTTTTTTTTTTTTTTTGAATAATTACCTAGAAAATTACATTGAATAGTTTTTCTATTTTGTACTGAATTGATATAAAATATTCTTAAAATAATGGTTTGACATTTTACGCGAATAAAGGAAACTTTGATAGGTATGCAGACTCGTGTGTGAGTAATGTAGCTCATTGTTATAATAATTGGTCTAGGAATATTTAGTAAGTCATTACTTTCTCTTCTCTTTCGACTAAAATAATGTTGAAATGAGACTCAAACTGGTTTCTCAAACGTAAGTGATTCGTAATGCTTCCTGTGTCCTGGGTCAAGTAATCAGGGTCACTGTTTGCCCCACATCTGATCCATCAAAATTGACCGCTGCAGTTAAATATATTCGTCCTCTGTATAATTTATAGATCTGTAATAAATAAAGAGCTCTTGAAATATGTTACACATTTTCTTGACTTTCTAATTTATTCGAAGTTTTATTCATCTTCTTTTGGTAACAACTGAAGGTCTAGTATTTTCAATGACTTTTAAACGTATATATTTCATAGTAAATTATTGAAAGATAAATATTTTGAAGTTTATGTATTGCATAATTGTATAAATACGCTCTTTGAAAAGACACATATCGAGTGAAAAGT